AAATTCTACAATATAACAATGTATTTCCATTAACATATTCAGTTCTCAACCATGGATAATCATCAAACCACTTAAGGTCAGCAGTTTTCCTAATATGTGATTCTTTAGGTTCTATATTTTCAGAGATTCTAGTTTGATCACCATTATTTAATTCATCATCTGACAAATTAATGATTTCAACTTCCATTGGTTGGTTGGACATTTTAATATATTTGAAAAAAATTAAACAAGTTTCAATTAAATTAAATTAAATCAAATAAAATTAATTTTTTTTGATAACAAGTCTGGTATTTATAATGACAAATTTTAATTGCATGTGTGACAAATTTTAATTAATTTATTTCGTGCACACATAATTGTGGTGTAACGTTACACCCTCCCGCTGAATTTTCAAAGGAGAAAAAATAAAATTACTGCGGAAGCATCGGGAAATATATTCGTAGAGATTCTCCTATTTCTTTGAGGTCTTTGGCTAATAAAATATTAAATAAAGGAATAGAGATTTCATATGTAACAGTTTTAGGGCATTTGGAAGGATCGGATATAGGAAAATTTTGCCAAGAGCCATCTCAACGCTAACAACAAGACATAAAGAACGTCGTGAGAGTGGACACGAAATCATCTTAATGATGGTTGGAGAAAACCCTATTTTCCAGACGATACAGCTTCCCAACTTTACCGAAACACGATTGAAAGATGGTATAAGAATGTAAGACCTGTTCACCCAATACCAAAAGATCATACAAAAATTATTGCTTGGAGTGACTTTTGTATCCATGAAAAGACCCGATCTTTTTTGCTTCCGAGAATCATGGATGCAGAATTTATGTTTAAATGCCAGAATGCTAGGGTTTCAACAGGATAATGATCCCAAACGTTCCTTCAAGAAAACTTCCCGAAGTTATGGATTGGCCATCCAACAGTCCTGATTTAAACCCAATAGAAATTTCGCGGGCCATTGTTAAGAGGAATGTGGAGAAGAGAATTCCAAAAAATCTGACGGAATTGGTGCAGTTTATGGTTGAGAGGAGTGAGATGCAATTCCTAACTCGTTTCTAATTAGCTTAATTCGTTCTATGAGATCGAGATGTGAACTAGTCATTGAAAATAATGGCGAAGGGATTTCTTATTAAAATATTATCAATAAAAATATTATTTTAAGCCATCAAATGAGCCATTTTTCACATGAACTAATACAGTAGTTGTTCATTTAAAAATTTCCATTTTTATTTTTGTGACACTGTAGATGGTAAAAAAAAATGCTAGGTAGGTTAAATGTAAAATTCCAAATTAACATATGGAAAAACATACCAATTATTTTATTAAATCTCCCTGACCTGTTGGATCTTTTCAATATTGAGAGTGTTCTTGTGGATTTTGCCATCTTCTACATAGAATAAATGAAAATGCAACTATGAAAGAATCAAACTCACTTTCTCATTCTTCTTGATTATCCTCAGTAATACTATTATGTTTATATTTTTTAAAAAAATAATTAAAATGTAAATTCACTTTTGGAAATCAGATGATTTTCAATTGTAATTATATGTGGGCAGCTTTAATTTGCTAACTTTTTTCTATATTCTGTCTGTATTTATAATATTGATTGGCCAGAAAAAGATTTTTATTTTCTAAATATCATATCAATGTTACAACAGTTATTTTGTTTTTATTTTATTTGGTTGCTGTAGTTTTTGGTTTTTTGGTCCCATACTTTGATCTAGAACTGATTCTGTTAGGGACTCCACTAAAATCATAAGCTCCCCTGACCAAATGATATTTAACTCCTGGCAAATCTTTGACACGCCCACCACGAACCAAAACTACACTGTGTTCACTCTACGCCAATTTAAATAAATTATTATTAATAATTAATTAATTAATTACTTAATTACATACATATAAACTCACCAAATTATGCCCTTCACCTGGTATATAAGCAGTAATGATTTTACCAGTTGAAAGTTTGACACGGGCAACTTTACGTACAGCAGAATTAGGCTTTTTAGGTTTTGTGGTGTAAACTTTATTACATACGGCTTTTTTTTGTGGACAGGCTTCTAAATCTTTTGCTTTTGATTTTTTAAATTTACTTTTTCTTACTCCTCGCATAACTTGGTTCAGTGTGGCATATGTCATTCTACCGCCATTAGTAATTAGTTGATCAAAGATGAATATGGCTGGTTGTGGTGGTAGTAGTGATGGCAGTGATGATAATTTACATAATGATGTTGTTGTGAACAATAATTTTGAAAATAATGAATTCATCTTTTTTTTTCAATTATAGATTAGCCAATTAAAAATTAAATGATTGGTTCATCAACGAAAAACTGATTTTCAGTAATCCAGAATACATTAATTAATAAAGAAAAAAGAAAGAAATGTATGATGATATAGAAGATATTAATAATTTTATTGATAGTAATAACAGTGACAGTAATAAAATAGTATAGAAATTCAACCAGACCAAAAGAACAGGTAATTCTTCCAATGCGGCTGCTCTGGTAGTTTTCTATATATATTAATATGTGTATTAGTTGAATTAAAAACAATTTTCTTGTTGTTTTATTTAATATGCTGTATTGTTTGTTTATTTACTATTACGTTTTTATTTTTATTCCATATAGCATAGTTAGCTAACTTTATTTAGTAGGAATTATGTTTAGAACACTATCTTCAGCAACTCCTTTCCTAATTCATGCGCCATTTTACTATTTAATCCCGTCTTTTTAACAAATAATTCTTTCCATAAAATTTTCTACTCGTGAATATTTTTTATCGCTAACAAGTTTTTTTGATTTATCTTTGAATTGGCATTTTTTTGCTCTGTTTTATTGATTATTTCATCTATATTAGAGTTAGTGAAACAATTAACAAACAAGTTCATTGTTGAAAGTAGTAAGCATTTTTTAAAGTAAATAAATATTTATTGATTTGTTTTTTTTAAACAAAATAAATCGTACAATGCAAATAAAGCAAATTCTTTTAGAACAAAAAATTTAATGAATAAATGGTGTTATTTTGATAAAGAAACATTTCGTTTTAATAGTCAGAAATCAACGTTTTTCTTTATGCAATATAGTAAAGATAAAATGCATTATTTACAAGGAATGTTAACAGGGGAAGAATTGAAATACGTCCAACATTTCTGGTGTCACATGAAAAAACTATGAGACACAAAAGGAAGAAGTTTGTTTATTAGAACACCATTATGGTGTCTTATTGATTAAAGAGTATAGAACTTTTGAATTATCAATTCTGCAAATTTTATAAGAGAAAATCCAAGCCTTGAAAAAATGATAATGCGCTGATACCTGGGCTTACACGTCAAGTGTATAGAAGAACACGACAGTAGGAAACTTCTTTAGAAAAAATGTACAACTGTGTGGCCTCAATGCAGTTCTTAATATTAATATTGCTGTTAGAACAAATAATTGCATATATTATGTGTTGTCACAAAATGTGCTAGTTACTTTATGAAAATCATTCAAAGACAATTCAGACTGATGGATTAAATGTATATTATGTGTATCTATTAATCCTTTTATAAATAAGTAAATAAATAATAATAAAACATTAATAATTTCTTTGAGAAATAAATTACAAAAATTACATTAAAATTAATCTAAAATCTAATTCATTTTTTAATCTAATCCATTACTATATAGATAACTTTTATTTTATACATTGTCATCATCAACAGCTAAACGACTATAGCCACTTCTATTATTTTTAGTTTGAATATTTGGACCTTGTATTAATTTATTCAATAAAATTGTAAATAGTCCAACATCACTATGATTTAATTTGATAATTTCACCACTACCATTATCAGCCCAAACAGGCTTATTCCACCATTTCAACAATAAACTTGAACACACAACACTAACACTTGAGCATGCCATTGCTGCTCCTGCCATCATAGGATGCAGATGCAACCCCCATGGTAAAAATAATCCCATTGCTAATGGTATACCCAAGACATTATATAAACATGCCCATAGAAAATTCATTTTTATTCTGCGAAATATCACTTTGGATAAATCAATAGCTGCTACTACATCCATTATATCTGATCTCATTAAGACTATGTCAGCTGCTTCCATCGCTATATCTGTACCTGAACATAATGCAATCCCTAAATCTGCTTCTGCCAATGCTGGTGAATCATTAATACCATCCCCCACCATTGCCACCACATTTCTTCCTCTTGCTCTTTTATACTTTGGGCCTTGATATTCATTATTATTGTTTGTGTCTTCACCAACCATAGGTACTCTTCCTTGTTCATTTTGTTGAAGTTGTCGGATGATTTTAGTTTTGCCTTTTGGTGAAACTCCTGCATGAATTTCAGTTATATCACATTGTTTAGCTATGGATTGTGCTGTCAATAATTGATCACCGGTGACCATTGCAACAGAAATACCCATACTACCTAATGCTTTAACTGCCAATTTAGCTTCAGGTTTAATGATGTCTGAAAGTGATATAATTCCTGCGAAGGATTGATTGATAGCAACTAAAACCGCTGTACGACCAAGTCGTTCTTGTGTTTCTTTTAGAATGGTCACAGAATTTGGTATAGAAATTTGGTTGCGATGCGAAAGAAATCTTGCATTTCCAATTAAAAGATCGTATGATTTCAATATTGTACTGGTTGTTTCTGTTAATGGAGAAACAGCTGAATATGAAGTTTTGAGGGTAACTCTACATTTAATTCCTAATCCTGCAAAAGCTTCAAAGTCTACAACATCAGCATCGTAACTTTCAATATTTAAAACCAGTTTTCCATACTCAGCAATAGCACGTCCAAGTGGATGTTCACTTGATGACTCGGCAGCACCAACGATAGCAAAAAATGTTTCTTTAGTTATTTCTAAATTGTCAGACACTATCTCAAAATGTGCAACATCTAATTGCCCCTTTGTTAAAGTTCCTGTTTTGTCAAATACAACTTTTGTCACTTTATGTCCAATTTCAAGAGCTCCACCACCTTTAATTAATATTCCATTCTGTGCACCAACTCCTGTTCCAACCATCACTGCTGTTGGTGTGCTAAGACCTAAAGCACAAGGGCATGCTACTACTATTACAGATATGCAAAGTTTAAGACACACCATGAAATAACTACTGTCTGGTTTGAAAATATCTGGCAAAGGATTTAATATTAGAGATAAGAACATCCAACCAAAAAAAGTCACTAAACTTAATACTATCACCACTGGTACAAAGTACCCGGCTACTGTATCAGCAAATTCTTGTATGGGAGCTTTCGAAGTTTGTGCTTCTTCAACAAGTTTTACAATTTGTGATAAAGCTGTATCATTTCCAGATCGTTTAACCTCTATATCAATGGTTCCCAAACCATTGACAGTTCCACCAATCACCATATCACCTTTATTTTTATTAACTGGATTGACTTCACCGGTAACCATTGATTCATCAACAGCTGATTTACCCGAGATAACAACACCATCTGCGGGAATTTTATCACCAGGTACTACTTTAACAATGTCACCTATTTGTATCAATTCGGTAGGAATCTTTTTTTCGCCAGTAAATTCACCAGTCTCTGAATCCTTTTCGTAAATGATAGTGTAAGCTGGTGTAAGAGATATAAGCTTGGATAAGGCTACCGATGTTTTACCTTTTGCCATATTTTCTAAATATCTACCCAAAGTTACAAAAGTGATTAACATTGTTGATGTATCGAAAAATACAGATGGTTTCTGATGTGTTCGTTCTAGAAGAGCATATAACATGGCAAAACATGAAAATGTAAATGCTGATGTTGTACCAATAACTATCAATACATCCATGGTAGCATTCCCGTGCTTAAGAGCTTTGAAACTTGTAAGATAGAATCTTTTTCCAACACCAAATTGTACAGGAATTGTTAATAAAAGCGCTATAATGTGACCGCTATAAATTCCAGGCAACAATTCGAAATCTACAACCTTCATTCCCCATTCAAACTCGGGTAAAATCATTGAAATTATAAATACTGGTATGGCAAAAGTGAGTGAATTATAGAATGCTTTTCGCCATTCAGTAATTTCTCTTGTACGTGCTAAAGATTCTAGTTGTGTTTTTTGACTATTGTCGGACAGCAAGGCATTAAGTCCCATATCTTCAATCGTACCGACAATATCACGTATTCCTAATTTATCTTTGTTGAACTGAATTGTTGCGATTGTTGTGGCAAAATTAATTGATACGCTTATGATATTCGAATTTTTAAGTAATACTTGTTCGATCATATCGACACTGGAGGGATCTTGCATGCCAAATATCAATAGTTCAACTGTGTCTTCACTTTTTTGTTTTAAAGATTCTGCTTCAAATCCAATGTCATTTATCCTTTCTACAATTTGACTTTCATCTAAATTATCAGCGTCATATTCAACTGTCGCTCGTTCAGCAAGTAAAGAAACTTTGACAGATATTACACCGGAAACAAGCTGAAGACTTTTTTCAACACTACTAACGCAGGATGCACAAGTCATTCCCTGTACTTTTATCTGACATATTTTTATATTTTCCGTGATAACTTTAATGTTATCATCATTGACAGAATTATTAATCGTTTTGAGGGGAATTATTTCGGAGCCAATGTTGACTTTTGCCATCACTGGGTTGAAAGTTAAAAATTTTATTTTATAAAAAAATAAAAATAAATAAAAAAGGCAAATTAATATTATTAAATTATTACTGTTACTATTACTGTTACAGTTAGATTTCCCAAATATGGCTTTCTGAATTGATTGGCCTATCTATAAAAAGCTTTCTAGTGATCAATGAATTTAATATCCTTGTATATGAAATTGAAATTATGTGAAATTAAAATATTATGGAGTTAATTTGAATTTCACATATGTGAATTGCGAATTCACATAATTTCATTTTCACGTACAACAATCCTCATATTATTATTTGGTACAATTAGTAAAATTCAAAATTATGGATTAACAACAATTTTTCATTTATTAAGTGTTTAAACTTTTATAATTTAATAATTGTGATTGCAATACGGATAAAATTTACTGGGAAAAATCCGCCATTGGTTAACCAGGAAATGGTTGCAAAGGCATTGGAAAGAAGTGTCACAAAAGAATTTACAAGATTTTCAGGCTATTTGAACAATGAATATACAGTATATATATAGGATAATTGATAAATTGATTAATCATATTACAATAGCAAAATTATTTTTACTATAAACAACAATACCAAGTCATTTTGGAATCCTTATGATAATTATTTACATGTTTACTGCCCAGAAATTAGTAATAAATGTTTTTCAAATATAAATAGGTTTGAATGGGCATCTAGAAGTCATAGAATAACAATATTTCTCGTAATTCGATTTCCTTCCTGTATTGATTTACAACAATCCTCCGTATTTCTTTTGTCTCTTTGATGGTTTTATCCAACGCAGATTTGGGCATAAGTCAAGAATTCTGTAGATAGTAAGTAATTCACCAACCTTGGTGACTTTGATATCCAAAAAGTTTCTATGCCTGTGGATGATTTTCGTAAAATGTAAGATATTAGCGTCGATTGAGGATTTTAATCATATGAAATGCTTATGTCAATATACTCATTTTTTTTTGTAGCCACATAAAGAGAAGAAATACAGTCCCTAATACAGAGTTAATCATAAAATAATCCTACATCGGTGGACAAGTTTGTACAATTTTGGGCCATTTTCTTGACAAGCATTACTTTAGGGAGCCAGCGAGTACCCAGGATTGCCCATACCATAGGAATATTCTCAGAATGCTCGAAGGTAGGTTTAACACGCAGATTGATAAAATGGAGCAGTCAAGAGATCCTATTGCTAATATACGGGGATGGTGCCTGCAGATACGTGCTTCCCGATCCAGAAGCTCATCAATATACTTGGAAGTAACAGTTATATGATGCCAAATAATTGGATTGGATCAATTTTTAAGAAGCGAAAAATTATCATTAAGAAAATGATTAGTTATTTTTCACACAAGATATCCCTTACAACAGATACCTGGTCTTCCACAACTACAAATCAGGGATATCTTGGTGTTACGGCATATTGGGTTGATGATGAAGAAAATATTACTTGATCTTGTACCTCTTCATGAAAACCACACTGGAATCATTTTAGCAAATAAAATTTTAGGCAAGTTTAGCAGATTGTTTAAATAATACATTAATTCAAAGAATACAGCAATAAGGATTTTATGCAGATGTATATGAATCTCAATATATAAAATTAATAGGTCAACAACCAATTGAAAAATTACGTAAGTTGCCGTCTGTCTGTGCCTGTCACTTTTAATGTCTCAGAAAAAATATAAATTTTGCTTGTTAAAAAAATTATGATAAAAATTTAAGAATTCTTTCATTCCCGTTGTTATATCATCATATTTCGTTTGTACAGTCAAACCCTCGTTTCGAAGAACTTCGTTTCAGCGAACTGTAATTAAATTCACGTTTCAACGAATTTTGAATGATCCTTTCTTATGTGTCCAACCACTCGTTGAAACGAGGTTTTGACTGTATTTGATAAAATAAACAATAAAAGATTAAAAAAGGTTCGCAAAGGTTTTACATAGTGAAGGCAATACAATTAAACCTCGCACAAATTGAATCTAATCACATTTCGATGAATTCTATATGTTTTTATATAATACAAGATTCGTTGAAACTGTACTTATCAAATATTAAAATATTATGTATATGTAAATTATCGTAGAAACGGTTGTCATGTTCAATACTTTCATTATGTGAAATCTTTGTGAAAATTTTTTTTTTACTTATTTAGAATGGTGGGAGTTGCTTCCCTTCTTAAAAAAAATCACAGATTATACTTTTGTCCAATGCCCGTGGAAAACACTGACCGGGAATAAAGCACTTCTGAAGATGCTATTCTGCTGCTGCTGTTGCGCCCACTTTCTATCTTTGCCAATTCTATTTCTAGTGATTCTTCGGCTGTTACAAGAAATGACAACGTTGTTATTTGTAATAATAATAATAATAGCCAAAAGAGACACCACCATTAGAAATGAATTATGAAACAAGTCCTGCCGTAATCTTTTCTGAATTGTTGGAACCGCCACCACTGCCATTTGGATTTATTATTAAAAGCAAGCATCCAATCTTCTTCTTAAATCCTTCAAATAATCTCGAGGTAAGAGTCAATATCATCTAATAATCCTATTCCATTTTCATAAAGAACATGCTCAACTATCATTCTTTTATCATGATTATCAAGATATTTCCTAAATGTTCTAGCAAAACCAGAATGTTGTAATGATTTTGCTACATAGCGCTTCATCATCGATGAAATAATATTGGAGAATGAAGATGCATTTGTAACTGGTATATGATATTGTTGAAGAAGATGGTGGATGAGAATTTCTTTAAATTGAAGGGGCTCGGACTGGAACAATCATCAATCAGTTCCAAAGAAATTATTTCATGGAACCAATAAAACCAAATATTCAGTCAAGAGAGTTGGTAATTCACCAGAAAACAAGTATTCATGGAAATTCAAATTGGACCATCACAAGAATTTTTCCAATACAAAACTGAACAATATAACGGGCAATTGATTGAGAATGAACAGTTGCCACCAAAGCCAAAGACTCAAATTTTCACCAGCTGATAAGATACGTCAACAACCACAGAAACCAGTTGCTGAATTAGCTGCAGCATTAGCAGAAAAAAAAAGAAAAGGGGGGAAAAATAGAGAAGAAGTACAAAAAGGAAAAGTATGAATTGATAAGGTGATGGCAGTTTCGTCATCATCATCACTCATCTCATAAAAGGAAAAAAGCTAGAATTGATGAAGTCGTAGAAGTCGTAGTGGCATCATCATCATTCACCATTACCACCAATAATAAATAATACTTCCAACTCTCCTGCAATATATGGATGTAATGACAAGATAGAAATAATACCACTTTTTCAAAAGAAGAGTGTAAATTTCAGACAATTATTCCTTTTTTTTTTTTTTTTAAAAAAAAGAAAAACCAATATATATTCACAATAAACACAATTATTAATAAGCAAATATATGTATTTTAATTACAAAAAAATTAAATGAAATATATTACAAAAAAATTTAAAAATTAAAAAAAAATTTTTTTTTAAAAAACTGTTCTTCAAAAATCAAACTATATTATTATTATTAATTATTATTATTAATTATTAATTATTAATTATTAACTATTTTTTATCATATAATAATGATAATAAATCTTTCTGTACAATGTGCATGTGTGTGTGTGTATATATATATATTTATATATTATTAGTATTATTATAATATATATATACATATATAAATAGTTCAATTTTAAAATTTAGTAAAATCTACTTCGTTAATATCTTCCATTTTTACCACAACATCAGCATGAAGTGTACCATGGATTACTTTCCTAACCGGATCCTCGGGCATATATTCTAATTCTCCGTCAGCACTTTGTAGAACAAATTGTTTACCTGGTGGAGGTGGTTTCTTAATTGCAAAGGCTAAAAGTGAAGAAAAAGTTGTTTTATCAGTGATTGCTATGTTCTGTTTGTATGTTCTATTTGGTGATCTAATAGTTACTGATTTCAATTGTATTAACGTTGGCGAGTGCGTTGAGCTATCTAATAACGTTGGTTGTTTGTTTGATTAATGGATTAGTTGATTAATGGATTTATTAACATTTATTAATATCATTGTTAAAAAAAATTTTTCAACCTGAATTATAATCAAGACCTGGAATTTGTTGTAATCTTGGCGGGCTTTTTCTTGGAGTAAGTGGTGCTAAATAATTAAAATTTTGAAATATTATTACTTTATCATATATTATATACAGATGGACAGATAAATGGATAGATAAATTACTATTTATAGCAGGTTGTCTAGTGTATACAATTAATTGGACTTCCGATTTTCTCTTTGACAATTCATCCCAAAACGATTTATAAGATATTTCACTTTTTAAATCATGATGTAGAGAATCTTTCCAAGTACCTATACGATAATACAGAGTAGTAGTGTCTATTGTTCCCCATTTCTTTGGCAGTTTTAGATTAGAAATGTTGTTGGTTAATTGTTGAATGACAAGATTTGGATCATCGTTTTGATCAATATTTGCAATAGATACACGTAGACTACGTTCAATTTTAGCGATTGGATCATGAGTCACATCGAAACACACTAATGGAATTGTTGGTAAATCTTTTATGTGGAAAGAGGAAGGAAAAAAAGAATTGGGAAAGATAAGAAGATTGATCGATTATGATTTTCAAAAGAAAGAAAATCATAAACATATATGTATGTATGTATGTATGTATGTATATATATATATATATATATGCGTATGTATTCAATATGTGTGTATGTGTATATATAGAAAAGAAAAAAGAAAAAGAATTGTTACACATCTAAAAATTATATATATAACTTTTTTTAAAATCATTCCTTTTTTTTTTTTTTAAGAATAAAAATATAAAATATAAAAATATGATTCGATACCATTTGAAATTGGATTATGATGATTTAAATCATCGATTTCTCCTGATGTAGCAGATGATGTTGATGTTGTTTTTTTATGATGATGATGATGATTATGATTAATGTTATTATTACTAGTAATATTATTGTTACTACTATTATTACTACCACCAATGCTACCATTGCTACTAGCAGCGGCAGCAGCAGCAACAGCAGCGCCTGATTTTTCTTCATGTTCAATTAATTCTTCTAAAACTTCTCTCATCATTGGTTCAAATTCTTGTGATTCCCAACCATAATTAAGAGCCATATTATAACTTTCAATATGTTGAAAGTATTGGTCCAAAGAATTTGCTTTGATGGTACCTTGTTTCTTTTTTGCATCGATATATTCTTGTAGATATTGTTTTGTTACCGGGAAAAAAGAATCAACGGTAGGATGAAGACTTTTAAGAACATTTAAAAAATTTTTTACACCACAACGTGAAGCACGAGTGTTTAAACTGACAGACCTTTGACGGCGACGTGGCTTCGAAATATGAAGATGTTTACGAGTTGCAGGCATTTTTTCTATTGTTGTAATTAAAAAACTTTTGTTTATTTTATTGGAAAAAATTTTTTATAATAAAGTCTAAATTATAAATATTTTATATATATATATATATATATATATATAATTTATTATTAATATATATATATGTGTATGTATGTATATAAATATGTAAATATTAAAATATTATTAATAACATGTAAAATAATTAATTAATAAAAAAGTTTCGTAAACAAAGTGAAGAAGATAAAGTAAGGTAGGCGTCAAATATGGGTAAAGTAGTTGGTGGTTAATAGTAACTAATAATTTACTAATAGTAATAGTAATAATAATAATAATAATAATAATAACAATAACAGCAACAACGTAGTAGTAAATCTACCATTAAAATAAATAATAGATTTAGTTTTTTATTGTTTAAATTCTAATTTATAATATTTTACAACTAATTAATGAATATTATTTAATTATATTTATAATATAGGAGAAAAAAATTCCTTTGTGAAAAAAAAACGCCACCCATCAACGGATAACAATTGAACAATAGGGTTTAACGGAGACATTATGCTAATTTTTTCAAATAATAAAAATTAATGATAATAATAATAATTCTGACAATCTGGAAATAAATAAGTATTAATAATAATATAATAATAATAATAAAAATAATCTAAACATAGATTAAAAATGAGTTTAAGCTATAGATGACGAAATCAACTTTAAAACTTTAAATTTAGGTAAATCTTTTTTAAAAAAGATCTGCCACATAATTATTTAACGTGTTTTATTTTTAATTTTATTTATTTTAATATAATAAATTCTCCTAAATAAAAAAAACAATTTTCGATTTACTATTTATATTTATTATAAAATAATATATATATTAATATATATATAATAAATCATGGGGCATGCTGGACAAATTAAACATGTGGCACGAAAGAATTGCAGGGGTTCAAATTTAGTAGAATTGGTTATTAACCGTCACAACGATTTTTTTATTGGCCAACAAAAAAATTAAAATTTCAAATTTGAAGTGATAAAAAGACAACAGGTAATTGGTCGATTGAAAATATTTCGGCTATGGCTATAAAGTCTACACATAATAGAATATTGAGCACTTATCTGTGTATTAATGGTTCTTGAATTCCATATTTCTTTGAAATGTTGAGATCGATCATAAAGATTATGAAGTTCGTATCTATCTCTAGACAATTAGAATACACCAAGTTAAAATACGTAAATGACAAATTACTTGCATTTAACGTCAAAACTGGATGTATGTAACAATAATTATTATAGAAAGACGATTTCAAACAATAGCATCACATACTCCAACAGCCCTTTAAGCCATTGTTAAGCTTCACAAGGTCACTCAACCCATTGATGAATGCTTTACAAATTTGAAAGCAAATCCTCCCTTTTTTGATTCGGGGCGTAAACTGAAAAATCAGGTTTCGAAAATCTTTAAAAAGAATAACACTTTTTCCACAAGTCGTTGAAGATAAAAAATACATATCTTTCTCCAAGGAGCAAAACTTCTTTTTACAATGTGAGGATGAATCTGTAATTTTTCATTTGCCATAATGGGAAAAGCCTGTTCTTTTCTTCCAAAACGCCATTGACTGTTGACCGATGCAAGGCAATAAAAGTATATGGGCAATTATTGGTTTCGAAGCCAAGAAACCCATAATAGCTAGGACAGAAACTAAATTTGTCCATTTTATTTTGACACGTAATCTTATCATTTTTTGCTCAATTTTTCATCCTCATTCTCATTCCACATTTATCTATTCATTTATCTATTCATTTATCTATTCATTTATCTATTGATTATTTATCCAATAACTTTTATAGTAGAATTAAATATGCAGGATATTTTTAACCACTAAAAAACAATTTTAATTTATTGTTTATTTATTTTATTTTTAAAAACAATGTCAATATTAGGATAACAATAGAGAACCCATCATTATTATCTATATCAAAAAGTGTAACCTTAAAAGTTTGTGTATTTTTTGCACTACAAAAAACTAAAAAAACTTGTAAGTCTTATAATTTGTAATTAAAAATATTTTAAGATATTATTTTTAATGTTTTTGATATTTAAAGTTTATCAATTTATCAATTTATCATATAATTGTAAATGTAAAATGTATTTATGATCTATTAATTAGTATTGCTAATAATAAAATTTCACACTTTTGCTTGTCACATATTTTAATTAGACATTGAATGATTATTATTATTATTATTATTTTTAGTAGAGTTTGTCCGTCCGTTCATTTAATTCTGTTAATATTAAAAAATTAAAACATGATCTAATTAATTCATCGGCGTTATGCATAATTCGTCTATGATTATATTTACTTTGTTTTCCATTCTAGTAAGTTCATGCCTATCAAAAATTAAAATTGGGAATAATCGGGATTTTTCATTCTCTCTATTTATATATGATTATTTATCGCAGTAAATATTAATAAACGATAACAATTTTTTCAATTAATTGATTGATTGATTGGATTGATTGGTCCGATTAGCAAATCAATCTGTTGGACAAAATCGAAAGATATTACTGCAAATTTTTAACAGTTCTGCGGGGGAGATGCCGTCAATGCCTATCATATTTTTTTAATATTAAATTATTTTGGTCATATGTATTAATTTAATTTTGATCTAATTATTTTTACTTTACTACAGTTTTTTATGATTTCGTGTTTTCCATATTAGTTTAAAATATCAACAAATAAAAAGCCTAACAAAATTTTATTATTAATAATTTTGTTCACATGCTTATCACCTATCTAAAGCACAAATAATTAATCACAAGTGCACAAATACATTGTTTGTAAACCAATTTTGTAAATGATTTACTTGCAATTCCTAATTTCGTAATTTACTGTTTTTTTTTAAAAAAAATGTTTTACCAAATTTATATCAATAGATACAAAAAAGAAATAAACACGCATTCTCCAGATTTAGATCACAAAATATTATAGTAATTTACAAAGAAGTAGAAAACAACATTATTGGTACAATAGACAAAAATCTTTTTTCTTTAAAACTTAATCGTTGATTATTATATTAAAAATGTGACATCTTTATATGGATTTGAAAGTATCAAATATAATAATATGATGAAATTAGTGAAATTATAAATAATGTAATTAATTAATAAAATCAAAACAATTTGTTCTGTTCGATCTCTTTATACTGTATTGGATGTATGTATGTAACGTATATTGTATATAAATACAATTGAAATATTCATAATCATATAAAGATACACATGTAAATTTTTTGTATAATTTTTTTAAAAAAAATAAATCGTTCTTTAAAATAAAATAAAATTTGACAACTTTATTTTTCAACATTTTTTCCATCACCAACCAACATTCAAAATATTTTACGATTTACCCTTAAGAAATAATTTGTTGAATTTAACACAAAATTTTTTTTTTTAAAGAACGATTGATTAACTAATTCACTTTGCTTATTAGTGGAATAGTTTTTACATTCTTTTAAATCCTCTCTCTCCTTCAATCCATTAATCATCAATTATCGAAAAATGGTTTTTGTTAAAATACTTTTTTTCGTTATTTTGTCAATTTTGGTAAATTTTTTTTTTCAAAGTTTTCAAAAAAGATAATTTAAAAGAATATAATATATTAATATAGTAATATGATTTTTATGTATAGGGGTCCACTGGCATCAATGGAGACGATATTTATACAGGCATAACCAAGGCTCCTGGAAATTGGGGTGCTTGGTACACGTGTAGTGATATAGACACACGTTACGTCAGTAAGTTATATCATTCCAATAATTCCATCAATAATAGTCATTCATTATTACCACATCACTATAATAACCATCATTACTTTCAGGTTTTGCAATGAATATCGTTGATTCGAGCACACCGATGACTCCGGGATTTATCGGGACAATTATACCAGGTGTACCGCCAGAAAAACCAATTCCAAAATATCGACCAGGATTAATGGTTTATCAATTAGCTAATTCCGAAATGCAAAAATACTTGGTGGATCCAACATCCGATTTCGAATACGTACCATCATTGTCTTGTTATGATAAACCGAGAGCAACTTGTAAACAAGATGCTGGTAAAATCCCATTACAATTCAGTACTAAACAATGCTTGTTAATGGAAAATCCAACTGGTCTCGATATTGTTTTTAATGTTTCATTATCATGGACAAAATCAATTTTTAATTCCGATGTTCAAAGTCCTAATGTACCCGGTGGACTTGATTCAACCACAACCACCACAGATGTTTCTTCTGCGACCTCTAGTTCTTCCCCAACTACCGTATCTAATCCCAATTCTTCTTCTTCGTCGAGTTCTGCATTCAGTATTAATAGTGATACCAAATTTTTTAATATTTTAAATATTATAATTGCCGCTAGTTTATTGTTAATTTATTATTTTTAATACCAAATTTATTCATAATTTTTTTTTATTTATGTATAATATCATTTATTTATTTATTTATATATGTATTTTTTTTTTTTGTATAAATTTAAATTTTTTTTTTTTGTCTGACCTTTTTTTTTTTCGAGAAAAAAAAAACAATGATATTTTTATCTGGAATTCTTCTTTATAATTTATAATGGATTTTTGTCGTTGTCGATTTTTTTTTCTCGCCTTATTATTTAATGTTGGAGAGAATCTTGGGGTTCAAAATGATGGAACGACTGTTATTATTATTATTTTAATAATAGCATTATAATGTTTTTTCTCGTTCCAAACTCATTTAAATACTCGCTCAATACATCCATATAAAAGATAATCGGAATAATTAATTCCAAAGCAAGTATTCATGCTAAGCTTATTCTTATTTTATTCTGGCCTTGACTTGGTTGTTCAGATTTTATCCGGCTTGATCCGATTTACTTTGCTTCTCCGGCTGGTCAGAATTTGGGCCTTTTCTTTTTTTAAAACATTTCAATTCTTTAACTTTAATCTGAAGTTCCTGAATAATATTTTCACTTTTGAAGTTACCCATTTAAATATTTTAGTTGCTCAATCAATACTGTTACGTGACCAGATACAAATAAAAGTAATGACAAGCATAGTAGTACTCGTCCTATTTTACTTAATTTGGTAACATGGTGAAATACAAGATCATGATTAGTTCTGAAAATGACGAACTTTTATATAGGATTGAAGAAATTCCACTTTCAAATAATAATCGAAAAATCACAACTAAATATCTTTTTAAATGAAGATATCCAAAATATGAAATAACTAAAGATTATCATCAGGAAAATAAATCTTACATAAACCTACGTAGAGTTCAGAATTGGCCAGCATTATGTCGATATTTTGGTAATTCTGTTAACATTTCCGCATAATGCTGGTCAGTTTTAAA